GGACGAGCTTTACGCGACGCGCACCGCCGGCTTTGTGACAAGGTATCTTTTCAACTATCGGCATCTTCTTACTGCCCGCGCCGACAAGTTCTTGATGGTTGAGCTGGAACCATTACTCAAGGTCTGGCTTGTCGTCATCGCCGCTTGGCAAAAGGTTGCTCTTGTGGTCCCGGAACCGCCCCCGGAGACGGAGGAAGGACCGGCCCCGCCTATCGAAAGCCTGGCTCTGGAGGTGTTGGAGTTCACAACAGACCTGCAGGCCGCCGCTCTTTTCCTTCTCACGTTCAACGTCACTTCAATGCGTGCAGCCGGCATCAAGGTACTTACGGATCTACATAATGTTCCACGTGATGTGGTTGGCCTCATGGGCTCTGCAACGGCGTTCTCGAATATCTTCTTTGATGCTGCCGGTCGCGAGTTTGTCGATGACCCCGAGCAGTCAAACCAGCTGGAGAGCCAACAGCGTGCCAGAATGGCTCACTGGAAGAAACAGAAGGACTCGAATCTGCTCTTGCGCATCGCCGAATGCGCTACAGAGACCGACAAGGTCATTTGGCGCAATCTGCTCCTGATGATTTGCGAGCGCGCCTGGAGCAATCACCCTCGTATTATGCGAACATGCCGCGCGTCACTTCTAGCGGCTGTCGTGCGATACAGACCACTGATTTCGGCCTTCGCTGGTTTGAAGACGACGCCGGCACAGACTCTTGGGCGAACCACGAAGGAGCGACAGGCGGCGGAAAGTCTTCCTCTCGAGCAGTGGAAGGTCTGGATTCGCGTGTTATGTCACACCGCATTCGACGGCGATCCAGGTGGGGTTCGACCACCGCCCGAGACAGGTGCAGGATCGTTCGAAGACCAGTGGGAGCGCGCTTCATCCGCACGCGGCCTGTTCAAACTCCTCATCCCCTTTGTTTCTTCTCAGAGCTCAACCAGCCGGCTCGCTGTCGTCTCCGCTCTCGGCTCAGTCCCACCAACAGCAATTCAAGTTCTTCTCGAGGATCTCAAGGGCCTGGTCCAATACATGCTGGACGTTCGCCGTGGTCAGCGGCAGCACTCAGATGAGGTTACAGCAGTGGCTCAGATTCACTCGGAGGTCTCGAAGCACTTAAAGGACCCAATGGTCGTCGCGCACCAACCAACGTTCTCGCTCGTCGCCCAGTTCTTACGTGACATGGACGTGTATCTTCGGCGTCCTGACGTACAACAGTTGTGGGACATGCAAAGATTACGGCGCTACTTTTGTGGTATTGTCGAGCGGGTGTTCGACGCTCGGGAACTTGATTATTCCATGGAACAACAGCTTCCAAGTCCACTGTTGCTTTTCCGTCTCTGCGATGGGTGGTGCCATTATGGACCGCGCTCTGCAGAGCTTCAAGCGCAGTACAACGCGATGCAGCAAGCCGCTGTTGACCATTGGCCCGACCGAGCACGTCAAGAGAAGGCACAGCAGTACTTTCATACCGAATCTGTTGGTCTGTCCGTCGCAGCTAGTGGTGCAATCGCAGTGCTTTGTGTATGTTCGTCGTCTGTCACTATTGGTTTACTAATTCAGAGGTGCAGCGCCCTGCGATCGATTATACTCTCAACCCACCGCCTCAATATCATGCGCAAAATCAGCCAGCTCCGGATGCCTTGGACCTCGGCGACACTCTCGAGCGCTTCCTTTCCATGTTGGGGTCTGGCTCTACCGCTGTTGTGGGCCACGGGAAGTACGTACTCATCACTTGTGTCCATGCCGAAACTGATCCAGCCATAGACGCGCTGTTCGTACGCTCCTGACGACTCTACCCCTTGGACATTATCTGGCGGACGAAATGGCTCACCGCGCATTTGTGAGTTCCGCAGACTCTGACGCGGTGGACTCTCGTTTCTTTGCGATGCTTGAGGACGTTATCACGGATGGAGAATCTCACCCGTTCACATTCGAACAGTTGGTTGCAATCGGGTTAGCCAACCTCAGTAATTCACAGCTACCCATTCGGAAGCAATCCCTCAGCATACTCAGCCATAGCCTCGGAGCATCTGCGAGTACAACCAGTTTACGAACGCAATCCGCATCTGTTTGCTCGGCCGCGTCAAGCGTTTACCTACGCGCGGTCCAGCACGTCTCCGGCGTCATTGCAATGGAGAACGCCAACTCAGCGCCTAAAATGATCACTCAGATCACTGGTCTGCTTATGGACAGCGCTGCCACCCAGCTCTTACACAGTGTATTATTGCAAAGCCTTCGACCATGGATCTCGGCCGTCGATCTTCTGCCTGAAGGCTTTTCCTCGATATCTCAGGAGGGAGTTCTCGTGATCCTTCACCTATTGGCACTCACATCTCGCTACTACGTCGATCATCCATCTGAGGTCACGGACTTGTGGCTGGCGCTGGCTGACCTCGGACGACCGATGAATGGCGGAGCGATGATCCATTTCCTCATCGACCTAGTGACTAACCGAGACAATATCAAGCTGACCGCTGTTGCGGTGCAGGCCATTGCCTGTCTATCGAACACAGAAGAAGGGTCTCGAGCGATGCAGGACCTTTGCGGCTTCATCGGTCCGCGTTCGATGCTACCACCACCCGAGAACATCGTCATTCCACCATCCAATCTGGATACGATGTTTCCGCGATCCTCCTCGAGGTCTGGTCTCGCTCGAGGTCAAGTCGCATTTGTCTTGTTGTCCGACCTCGCCATCGACCGCGCATGGGATCTATCAGACACGTTGCCCATTATACTTCATGTCCTCTTCATTCACCTGGACCATAGGTCAGCCTATATCCGAGACCATGCTCTGCGGTTGCTGTTACATTCGGTACGATCCTGGCTGCCAGCGTACGACGAAGGAGCGGAAAGCAACGTGTATACGGACGATGCATACTCTCGTATCGAAGGATTGCAAGACACGAGTACGGAGATTTTCAAAGCGTCGTCGCATGACCCGGAGAACGACAAATTTGCGCAGCTTCTTGAGGACGTTCTGGCTGTTCTCGAGCCGTTACATTCGTCATTGCGGCAGGACTGGGGTGAACTCGCTGTGCATTGGGGAACCTCCTGTGCCATTCGCAACCTGGCATTCGGCTCGCTCAAGCTTTTCCGTTTAATCATGCCGACCATCGACCGCGCCATGCTAGGATCCATCATTGGTAGACTACAAAACACGATCTCCGACCCAGATGAGAACTTTCAGGCGTTCACGGTCGAAATCATGAGGACAATGACCGCCCTGATTGATTCGCCAACCTTGGATGTCAACCACGTGCCGCAATTATTTTGGTGCGCTCTTGCATGTCTAACAACAACAGTCGAGGACGAATACGTTCAGGCCCTCGCGATGGCAAAGGCGTTACTGAACAAAATCGATCTTGGTGACTCCGATTCGGCGGCATACCTCGAGGAAATGACCCCGCCGACATGGTCTAGTGCTTCTGCCGATTTGCAGACAGGCGTCATGGTCGGATTAAGATCTGCAGTAACATCTGATATCAGCTGGGAGTTGTTGCAACGCCTCATTCAAGTGGGTGACGCGCCTCTCGTTGGTAAGCCTGCCAGTCGCGTACGGGACGCGTTCGCAGTGTGGATCCCGTGGTCACTCCAAGCAATCGACGACAAGAAGGTGGATACCATCGCGGACTACGCAATGAACCTTTCATTCCTCGCTGAGCAGCATGGGTATCCAAGCATTCAACGTGTGATGATTTCATACGCAAAGCAACGTTTCCGTACGCGCGATGACTACCTGCGACAGGCCCTAGGGTGCCTGCGAGAGCACTTCGCCGGCACGATGGGCGATATTTGCACCCTTCTCCTTGGTCTAGTCCTCAACAAGACGCGTTGGCTACAGCTGAGGACAATGGAAGTGCTCAAGGTGCTGTTCACGCATCGCGAGACCTGGAATCCCATTCGCCTCGCCGGCTCGGAACTCCTCATGCCGTTGCTGCGCCTACTTCCCACCGATCTCGCGCCACAAGCACTCGAAGTACTAGATCAACCGATTGCGGTCTTCGGCGGCCCCTCCGCAGCACAGGTTGTTCGCATGAGCATGTCTGCAAGCGTCACTCCCAATATTTTTGGCGCGCCACAGGAAAGTGGATGGTCTGTTGCGCGACCCGATACTGCTCGACAGCTTACACGCATGAACTTGCTCGCCGTCTTCGACACTTGCAAAGATGCAAACAGCGACATGCCCAGCACACTTGTGTTCGAGAACGAGGACGATCCGATGTCCCCTGTCTCCGCGCGGTCAATCGGTCAACGGCAGTTCAAGACCAGCCTCACCGGCGGTGCAAGTGCAAACGCGGCAGCGGCAGCTCGTAACACGGTCTACGGCATCACTGAGCTGCTGTCTAATTTGCACGCGTTGACTAGCTACTTTGCGGAAGATGGACCGTCGCAACACGCAGCGGAAGATAAAGTCAGCCGCATTCTTGCGTTCAACGAGCGCGGTCGAGAGCGCCAAAGAGAGAGGGACCCGACACAGCAGACGCACGGAACGCAATCATCGAGTGACAGTGCTTTTGACAATGTTCATATACCGCCAACCCCACTCGTTGACTTGTTCGGTAACAGCACACCGAGTGGTCAGGGCGGACGACACGGTGGCGGGCCATTCGCCAGCAACGGCGGCGGGGGTCGTATACCTGATATACCTGAAGGATACTTCCCCGATTTCGACCAGAGTGATGGAAGTGACGAGACGCACAACGATTCATTTGTGTTTGATGATGGTGGAAGCAGTCGACACATCGGTTTCCCAGCTGGTCGGCAACCGGAAGGACGACAGGGTTCACTCACTGGGCTTGGATATGGCCGAACAGCATCAGGTCTACCACAACATCAACCGGTGTTGCCACTGCAGATGAATGGGACGAATGGGGCACATTTGCGCAAGATATCTGGTCGACAAGCTTAGGTGCTCGATTATGTAATTTATATCATAACTGTACAACTGTGTGGGCCTCAAAAAATAATAGCATTTAATGTTCCGATCACATTCAACACGAAAATATGATTCCACTGGGGGTCGATCCCAGGACCTTTTGTGTGTAAGACAAACGTGATAACCACTACACCATGGAATCTCTCTAACGCAATGACAATATGTCATACTAATTGTACTTTGGATCGTAATCGACCTTAACCATCGTCACGAACTTCGAGGACAATGACATTTACTCTCAGACTTATTTAAAATAGATCTTCCCGTGGATTAGGGTGGCAATTCGGCTGCCGACCATGCCCGCTGCCGTTTCCTCAATGCATGCCACACTGTGTACTATGACGGGCTACTTACGAACTACCTGTTCATCCCGGAAATTTGCTCTGTGTGGTACTCATACGACGGTCGATGTACAGACGTGCTTGCTGCAGATCATTTTCGACTTCACAAAACAAGGAGATTACTATCGTTGAACCTGGCACTACTCACTACTCCAGTCTAACTCCAACGAATGTAACCTCTTCCTCGCATCCAAGTATCAGCTCGAAACAAAGCGCTGGATGTTGTGGGAGAAACGGGCCAGCTTTTGTGAGAATGTTATGTTGCCCGAGGAGGTCCGCGGCGGAAAAAATTGTAAAAGTCACCCACATGGATGTGACAGATGCATTCGCGGCAGTCGTCGTGGAGGATATTCTCGTCTGTGGAAACACCGTGATATGTTAGACGGCGGTGCGAGTACTAGTAATAATGCCCTTGTTTCGAATTGAAGGCCAAAAAAATCGAAGCCGAAGCCAAAGCCGTGAAGAACAGCACAACTATGAGCTGCCGATGGTATGAATGCTATAGCCCTCGGTCGTCAACAAAATTCCAAATAATAATGCCATTGCATGATGGGAGGGTATGTTATATGTGTGTGCCAGCTACTGGCATCGGAACGGTCCGTGGTAGGATGTGATTGGGGTGAGCAGGTAGGGAGCGAGATGGGTGGGTGAGGAAGTGCGAAGGAAATGTACGGTCGAAGAGAGGGAGAGAGTGTCCGACTGGTGTCCAGCTGAGGTGCGCGCGCGCGGATTCGTTCGTTCGTGTGTGAATGATGCAAGGGGGAGGCAATTCTTTCTTACGCCCTAGCCGAAATGCATCACAGATGGCATCTCGGCCGGTGCCGCGTGATTGAGAAATCGTTGAATTGAGAAGTCCAAGGTCGCGCGACCGAGTGAAGATCCTGGCTCCTGGTGCTCACAGCGCCGCAACCGCAGCCACGGCGATGGCTGCGAATGCAGTCGCGGCCCATGATACAGTTGCGAAGCTGGCAGCGGCGCTATCCGGTGACGCGGACGGCGAGCTTGTGCTTTTAGTGGTGGTGCCGGTCGAGGCTGGCTTTGAGACGCTCCCAGAGCCAGCTGGCGTGTTGGCCGATGAGTTGGAGCTGGAGCCGCCCGACGCCGGCGTGCCACTTCCTCCTGTTGCAACGGTTCCGACCTGCTTCCAGGCTGCTGCTGCATTCGCTCCAGTACCAGCCATGTCCGTCTGTGAAACCGGGAGGTAGAACACCTTGCCGTCCGATGTAAGTTGGACAACAGCCGATGTCGAAGCGGCGAAGAACGAGCCAGAGTCCTTCGTCGGGGCAGCCAGCGGCAGCGTTTGATTCGTCTTGGCATCAACGATGTACGTGGCAGAGAGGTCATCCGGGATGAACGCCGCTTGGCGCTGCTCTTTGCCATTCGGATCGAAGATGGAGGTAGCCCAACCATGAGAGGCAGGGAAGGTTGGCTTGCCGTTCGTCGACGGGAAGAGCTGCGCGTCTGGCTGCGGGAATGCGAAATGAACCACGTAAATGTAGTTCTGGCCCGCTTGAGAGCCGGGAGCTCCGAAGAAGTGAATATGGTTGTTGATATTCACCGCGGTAGCCTTGTAGCTGGAGCCGTCGAAGGGGAAAGACACGCCTTGATTCACCCACTCGATGGGCTCGCTCTTCGCTGCCTTCTGGTAGTCGAAATGAGCAAAGTACATGGTCTGCTTCGAGTAAGCATCTGATGTTGAGTGAGTAGGTGCATTCTCGTCTGTCTGTTTGGCGAGTGAACTTACAGAGGACATCCGTATCATGGTCCAAAACTTCCACCATGCTGTCTGGGTCGGGTGTGTCGCCACTAGCCATTGCTTGCATCGACCACGAGTTGGCTGAAAGGAAAAAAAGCGCGATCAGTAATAGGCGTGGGATCCAGGACGTCACCAGCGCTATGGCTTCGCGTGCTTACCACCAGCATCGTAGAACCAGACAGCGGTGGGGTTAGCCTTGTCAACACCGAGGGCGAGGACAGCGTTGTTGCCCTGTGCGAGATGGCAGCGGGGCCGGTCGCCGTCAAACGGAGGGCGTGTGGTGGTTGCTCCGACTGCTTTGGCTGATGCTGTGACGCGCGAAGTTGATCGAGTGAGCTAAATGGGGTCTCGCGGTGGCAGGGTGAGCGTACCTGCGGCGGCCCAGCTGTCCTGAGTCCCAAAAGTGTAGTCGGTAGATGGGCCGAGAACGAGGAGGTTGTTGTTCTGGTCGAACACGACACATGCCTTGGCGGCGACTTGGCCAATAGCAGCGGCGAGCGCGACAAAGGGGACAAGCGATCGAAGCATTATTGGAGGTGGTGAGGAGATGGTGGAGTGAGAACAAGGAGAGTACGCGCAAAGAAATGAAGAGTTGTAAGAGGAAAAGTGACGGAACCGGGAAAGGAGTTGGAGCGAGCGGGAGCGAGTGGACGCAAGAGCGAGAGATGAGCGCGCAGGCGGTCCGTCAATGGTGCAGATTTAACCGCGCGCCCTGCACCAACTGCATGGTCTCACACACACGTGCATGTCGCATCACCGAGGCCTGTGTTCAACCATTCCTCGTTTCAACTCGCCGCCGTACACTCCGTCGGACCCCGCGTTGGGGCGATGATGACGAGCGTTGGAGCAGTGGTGGCAAATTTCATCTCCACGGACACCGTTGGCATCCTCCATAAGTTTTTCATCGCATCAACAAGTATATTGAGAAGCAACGCCCGGATGAGCGTCCCCCATTAAGCAGCAGCATGGTCATTCATCAGCGGTTCCGCCTGCTTCCTCTGTGCTGTGGATGGGTCTCGGGCATCAACCCTGGCTGCGGTCTCTCACAGCCTCCGAGGAGAGGCAGGACATGTTGATTCTACCTATTGCACAAGCATCGCCGCTGCACAAGAATAGCAGTTGACCAGTGCCATGGCTCAGATGTCACCAGTACAATAGCACCAGGAACACCTGACGGACATACGACGGGCGCGACAATCGCCGATTTGACTGCTCGTGCTTCAAAATGCCATGAGAAACACGCAACTTGGAAAACAACAGTGCTCTCCTAAGCACATGGCACGGGCGCTGATCCTCATTGGAGACGATGTCGGAGGTGACTGCGAGTCCAGCGGCTGAGCGAAACCACCGCTCAAAACACTCTCCAGGAGCATTGCACGTGAATAAGGATCAGCCGTAGTGAGGCCCTGACTCAATGGCTAATGTCGCACACCGGAAGACCCGGTCGAATATGAATAGAGAACAGACGGATGAACAAGTCCGGCTGGTCACTCAGCCCGATCACTATCGGTCAGTGAGTACAGTACGTATACGGCGCAGACACTGCCGGCTCCCGGCCTATAGTTGTGAGCATTGCACCACTACGGTAGTTGACTGGACGTGAAAGCTAGAGACCTGCAATTAGCAGCAGGGAAGAGCTGAGCCCGGTGCTGTGGCCCGGGGGATGCACCTCCTTCCAGCAAACCTGTCCATGCAACTGAATCTGATATCATCAGGGTGTCACACCGCCTAATCACATGACGAGCAAGGCCTAAAGCAAGCCTGAGAATAACCACAACCTCAGCTTGAGACTCCGCTCCTTTCAACAGAGACCTGACGCTTCCCACCAAGTTCGTCTCAAAAACAGGGCATTCAAACGAAAATTATGACAAAAAAGAAAGAAAACGATAGAACCACGACTGAGGGAGACAGAGCAGTACTCGCACAACAAGGCGACACCAAGCAAGTCCTGGGCAATAATCATTGCATGTCGTAAAGTCGCGTCTAGCGCTCCTCATGTCGCGTGACCGGCACACACTGGTAGCATCCGACGAGCTCAGCAGCACTTGCTAGCCGCCTTGTCGTTGGACGAGTCGAGTGTGGGCCGCACAGGAATCGAATCGCCTTGGGTGGGCTTGATCGAGTCCGCTGCCTGCTCGAGCGCCTTGCTTGATACGATGCGGTAGATGTCTAGATATACAGTCAGGCGATGCAAGCTCACTCATAGGAGACGGACGCAGCCGAGAGGAGTAACAGACGCACCAGTCAAGATGGTTTGGAACGCAGACTCTACGTTGCTCGCGTCGAGCGCAGACGTCTCAATGAACGACAGGCTGTTCTCAGCTGCGGGCATAAGCGGAATCGGTGGGGGAGGGTGAAATGAGCTCATGCGGCGCTGCCGGTGGCGTTGAGAGACGCTCGGCGTACCTGCAAAGGACTTGGCCTCCTCCGTGGGAACCGCACGCAGGTGCTTCAAATCGGACTTGTTGCCCACGAGCATGATTACGATGTTGGAGTCTGCGTGGTCGCGCAGCTCCTTCAACCAGCGGGTGACGTTGACATAGGTCGCGTGCTTGGCAATGTCATATACGAGCAGCGCGCCCACTGCGCCGCGATAGTAACTGAATAGTAGGAGAATAAATGAGGTCCAGAAATCAAAGCAAGATGAGTGCGAAACTCACGCGGACGTGATGGCGCGGTAACGCTCCTGGCCAGCTGGAGGACACCCACATCAGAAATATAGCCCGAACCCCAGTATTCGAGCATACCCGTGTCCCAAATCTGCGCCTTGACGGTCTTGCCGTCTACGTTGATCGAACGGGTCGCAAACTCGACACCAATGGTCGACTTCGATTCGAGATTGAACTCGTTGCGCGTAAACCGCGAGAGCACTGTTGCCTCTCAGTCAGCACCAAAAGCTACCAAGCAACGAATGGGTATGCGTACGGTTACTGTAGTGGGGTCAGTGGGCGGCAAATCTGCAGTTAGCGGAGAGCCACGCACCTCTTTCCGACACCAGAGTCTCCAATAAGCACGACCTGTTGCGCAAGCTCAGCCTTGCAACGA